GTAATATACTTACATATCTATATTATTGCTAATATATATCTACATCACGGCTAAAGCACTTCTGGATGGATGCAAACTGCATTTCGTTGCCCTGTACCTGTGCATGTGCAATGACAATAAAGTTGAATTCTATTCTATTCTATTCTATTCTATTCTACATCCTAGACATGTCACCAGTCTGTTGCATGGCTCACACATAGAAACAGACACACACATGCATGCCTATGGCTAACGTTTGTGTTTTGTGGCTACAGTCAAACTGCTCAAAAATTGATCTTTTGATAGTAGAGGCCGCTGGTCCTGTTTACGACTGATCGTCCTTTCCGGTCTGTATTTTCAGATTTTTATCATATTATGAAATAAAACCAAAGATTACATGGCAAGAATATAAGAAGATGGAAAAAACAATGATCACTGCACAGCACTGAGGAAACAAGAGCGTTTGACTCTGCTGTAGCCTCACCTCAGTCAGTCTGTCAGCAGAGGACAGCAGAGAGAGCCACTCAAGCCGGAGGTGAACACTGCCAGATGCGACGTCCCTCAGATCGAACCACTGTGTAAAAAAACAGAGGGCTCATTACACAAACATTTTTTTTAATCTGGCTGAATTCTTGAGCCTGAGCAGGATGGCAGAACTGAAGGTGGCGTAACAAGAGCAGATCACGAGGAGCCACGTGGGTGTCTCCGGTGTCACATGCTAACCGTTATGCTGCACTGTTTCATCCCATTTTTCAGGTCAAAACAATTTCACAATTTGTTTACTGAGACAGAGAAAAAAAAATGCAACTTTTAAGTCAGAAACCTCCCAAGCGTCGCTACTCACATCATCCACAACTCTGGCCTTCTTTACAATATCAAGATCAATTTTGACCCTGGAAGAGAAACAGATAGAAACAGAAGAAAATTGATCAATCCCAGAATAAATGAGACCAAGCTGTTCAAATTTCAGCAGAATCGTGGCCCGACATCGCAAAAGCAGTTATGGAAATGGCACGAGGAGCACATAGAGACAGAGTAAATGAATGAAAACGAATAAGCTACCTCCCCAGGAAGTCATCCTGGTCTGGGTCTTTGTCAAATACTTCCACTTCCAACTCCTGACCAGGTACTTCATGGACAATCACCTGACACACACACACACATAAATGGACAAATACACAACACACACAACAGATACACAAATATATACACCAATCAGCCACAACATTAAAACCACAAGCAAGCGAAGTGCGTAACAGCGACAAGGTTCTACTGGGAAACCTTGTGTTACTTTAATATGTGCTACCCTCTTAAATGGGCCCCACCC